AAGGTTCAGGGTTTAGGGTTTAGGGACTAGGGTTTAGGGTTTAGGGTTTAGGGTTTTGGGACTAGGGTTTAGGGTTTAGGGTTTAGGGTTTAGGGTTTAGGGTTTGGGGACTAGGGTTTAGGGTTTAGGGGCAGAAGAAGCCTGGACCCCACATCCTGTTTAGGGTTGAGGGACTGCGAATCCCAATCAGCCCCCAAAAAACCAAACTCCCTGAGCCCCAAAACCATAAATATATACCTCGAGCCCTAACTCCAGCAAAGTCTCAGGCCAAAAATCTGATTTCCAGCAAAGTCTCTAGCTAAAAATCTGATTCTGCCTGGCCCACTGGAGTCTTTCCACCACTGCCTGCGCAGAAAGACAACCCCAAGGATCAGGAGATGTTGAGCTTCAGTTTACTATGGACGAGAGCTTCTTGGGTTTAGGGTTTAGGGTTTGGGGGTTTAGGGTTTGGGGTTTAGGGTTTAGGGCTTATAGGGAGCCTTTTTGGGCTTTGGGGTATTGGGTTTAGGGCTGGGGGGTCGGACTTCGTCAGGAAGGTTACAGTAAAGATATCGCAAAAGGGGATCACAAGAAATTGAAGCCGCAGTTGCTTCACGTCTAGCCACACATGTTCCCAGAGACTCCACCATCCCTTTCTTCAGGAATATCCTTACATCATATTTGGGATCCTACTGTATAGAAGGTATCCTAAACCCTGAACGCTAAACCCTAAATTACTAAACCCTAAACCACCAAAGGATATTGGAGTCTCTGGGTTAAGTCTGCCGGTCCTCTTAAGTACGAACCGAGGGCCACAATCCCTTTAACCTTTAACTGCTTATCCTTGGGCTGCAGGAGTTTAGGCGTCAGGGTTTAAGGATAAGGGCCCTGGAGTGGTCTGGTCTAGAACTTTTGGGTTTCGGGGTTCAGGGTTGAGGGGAAATTCACCGAGAAGGTCCATCTTGTATATATTTCTACACACACTACTGTTTTGAAAGAAGGTAGAACTTTAGTGTTCGGAATTCAGAATGTTTAGAGCTTTCGATTCTTGAGTTTGTGAGGTTTGGGACTGTAGGTTTCATTCAAGCGGTCTGACCCCGGATGCGGATTGTGCGCAAGGACACCTGCACAGCTGATTCATGCAAAAGCAGCTCGAGACCGATGTTTTCGGCTACCGATCGGAGTAGCGCCCCTAAACCCTAAACCCTGGATGCGAGACCAGCTTCCCGGGGCTCATAGAGTGAACTGCCATAAAGCAGCAGTGCTCAAGGGAAGTGGGGAAGTAGGCGGCTAGCTCAGCGCGCGGCTCGGAACACTCGCCGTTGCATGATGTCATGTTGAAGTGTACTTTCAGTCGCGGCTGTGTGAAGGTGAGGCGATCTCCGACACTGTGATGGCAGCGGTGGTCCTTCACTTTGAGAGTTTCATGCATCTCCGAATAGAACCAGCAGAAAGCAGACCACTACACTGTCTGCCTGTCTTAACCCTGATCGTCTGTCGGGCTGGTTAAATGAGGCGGTTACTAACCGACATGAAAAGTGAGGCGGTTGCGTCAAAGGGGTTTTTTAAGGGAGTTCGAAAGACCACTCTCGGACATTGTTGTTTTCACACACCCGGCGCGAAACGTGCTGACTGTCACCCTCATCCAAGCCGTCCTTAGGGTCTGAATCTCACACGAATCAACTTCAAAACCTGCCTAGGCCAAAAGAAGAATTATAAAACACGGCTAATTCTACAACAAAACTAACTACATCTATGGTTTGGGTTACAAAAATATCGGGGAGATAGCCCACCACACCAGGAATTACTTCCAAGAATCAGCCGATTTGCATCATCATCCAGAGCTAAAGCTCATCGATTCCATCCTTGTCGACGTGCATTCCTGGGCTTTGCAGGTTCTTAGATCATCTAGAAATCTTATGGTTTAAAAAGCTTCAGGGTGTACGTTGAAAGTGTCGCTTTCGGGGTATAGGCTAGTGCGAACTCGAATCGACAGTCCATGCAGGAAGAAAGGAATGGAGACACAAAATATATAATATGTGTCGCTGAGCATCGATGTCAAGCGGCGTTTCGACGCAACCATCTTCAGCATGCCCATTCGCAGAACCCAGCGATTGAATTTTCCAGGCTTTCGTGGTGCACGAAGACTGACCCCTGAGGCATGAAATTCTATTATAAACCTTCTTAATAAGAGTCCCCGGTCTAGGTCTAAATGAGGGCAACTCAGATTCTGACTCTTCAGCCATCCCATCGAATCTTCGCCACCAAAACAGTGGCTGTAGCGTGTGTTGTAACCTCAGGCTTCCAGGTGTGTCGATGAAATTAATTATAACTACCTCCCTCACTAAACCCATGATTATATTAGTAATAATCATAATTTATAGCTCTTCTTGACAGGATGCGCCACTTGTGGCTCTGGTCGAGCAAGTGAAGCATGGCCTCACATGCTATAATAAAGTACACATCTTGGGTTTAGGGGGTTTAGGGTTTAGGGTTTAGGGTTTAGGGGTTTAGGGTCGCATTCAGTCTTGGCATACTGGGTTGAAGCCAAGCTACATGAAATTTGGGCTTCAGCACCCAAGCCAAAATCTTCAGCCTCAGCTGATCAAGCTAAAAACCCTAAACCCTAAACCCTAAACCCTAAACCCTAATAAACCCTAAACCTAAACCCTAAACCCTAATTTATACCATCTGCGACGTGATTCGAAGCCAAGAAACCGATGAGAGACTTGGGTCAGTCGCAGATGACATTTCAGAAAAAGCATACCATTTGCATATATCTCTTCGCTTTGGCGCTCCGTCCTGAGCTCTAGCCATGATCCACCCGATACATACATATACTTAGAACTACGATTTTCTAGCAGCCCAGTGTTATATGCCATGGAAGCTGCAAGTAGCGCTTGGCCGTCTCGCAGCCAGAGAACCATCTGGAAAAGGCGGTCCTGAGATTCAATCAGACGCTTGCTTGCAAGATTGATCAGGGTCACTGTAGTACCGGCTATAGGTTCGGGTTTATGGGTTGGGGATTGTAGTGTCTTGATGCGTTTTTTCTAATCTCTAAATTTGGGCAGGAATGGATTTAGGGTTTTGCGGTACATAATAAGTTATTTAATATAATTACTACTTTATATAACAGGGTTTCTCTTTCAAATTCAGGGGAGCTGCAGTGCTGTAGCATGCAGTGGGATGTGTGAGTCCACCGGGGCATTGAGAGCCGCTTGCTGGCACTTGCTTGCCAACCACAACATGACAATCCTTGCATTGTACGCCTTCGTTGTCAAATAATAGCCATGAACAGCCTTCAATAGATGTCGGGGTGCAAAGCTCCTTTGGCTGCAGGCAATTTTGTTTGATCGGCGCCATTGTTGGAAATCATTGAAAGCAGTCTCGAGGCACGACTTCATGTCGTCTGTCCCAGCATAGGGCCCGAAGTGGCCCTCACGTAGTAAAGCTTCCCTCGGATGTAGAAAGCACATGCGGATTCGAAAAACTTCTTTCGAAGTTCATTCGGGTCATACAAACGTAATATAAAACTATAATTGAAACAAGCCTTGGGCACATTGCCCCTCCGCTTGCAGTATGGACCAGCCCAAGGTTGCAGACATGCATAGAGCAGAACTTTATCATAGATACATCGAAGCATCTGAGACCAGTCAGAGGGCCTTAATATACCCTAAACCCTAAACCCTAAACTTATTATAAACCCTTAATAACCCTAAACCCTAAACCCTAAAACCTAAACCATAAACCCTTTATATGTTAAAATCGTGATTTATAATAAGGCTAACAAGCTTATCTTTAGGTATATACAACATAATTATAGTAAAAGACTAGCAAAAGAAAACATAATGATCTAATCTATGAGAAGGTTGCTCGATGCCCCAGGCCGAAGAGCACGCTGAAGAAAACCATTTGTATCCAGCTGACTGGTTCGCCAAGCAGCCCCGTCCTGGACATCATAGTAACGCAGAGGACCGTCGCTGGCCTCTGCATCGCATAAAAAACAGCACCGTTTCGAAACAGGGGTCCGCAGCAATCTCAGCGTGCGCTCGTGCCACTTCCAGTCCCCGCGACATTCCACGCAAGCCCAACGAGTTCCGTTGGCAAATTGCTGTCCAGCTTTTAAAGCCTTCGCACCAGCCAGCGGTGTCCCATCCATTGAGACACGAGGGTATCGCCCATCGAAGGCAACGTTGCAAGACCATACTATATGTTCCAGCACCGGTCGCAAAGTCTTCAAGTCGGCATGCACCATTACGGAGTCTTGAATGGCACAGAGGAGCCACAGACCTTGACGTGCAGCCCGAGGTTTAAACAAAGTGAGCTGCAAGAACACGCCAGTCACCTTGTCCCTCGAATCTTTGCCCAGCACAAGCTCGTCGCCGTATAATGTAAACGGCACATGATCACTGCCATCAAAGCCCAACGCAAAGGGGTTCCCACGACCTCGCAGGTGCTCCCAAAATTGTCGAGTTTTGTCCACGGGGCATTCCAGCTTCAGCTCCGTCTGCAGATAATCCAAAAGCTCATGTGGATCCAGCACAGGAATCGTCGTCGTGACCTCTCGACGATCTCCTTCATAGCCCTCGTAGATCTGGCATTGAACTTGCGTAGGCTCCTTTGCTTGAAATCTACTTTAACCCTATTATTAGCATCAAAATCGCCCAAAAAGCTCACATAATAGGGTCTTTGGGCCCGAAAGCCTTTGACGGTAAGGTTAATTATATATATACACCAGATACACATTTATAAAAATAAAACATCATATATTGCTCTTATAGCCCTCCCGCCTGAACAGCAGGTCCATAGTATACATCATAAATTATTGATTTGGGTTATCATATACGTAATCCGGGAAATTAGAAGAGACCCTAGAATATGTTGTACAGGGTCTATAATAAGCTTATAGTATACGTAGATATACATATATGGGGGTTTAAACTTATTAGGGTGCTTAGGGTGGTTTTACAAAAAAAACTATTTATAGCCCGGGGTTCAAGAGGCAGCTGCACTCTCTTGAAGAAGTCCCGCGACTCATTGCCAGGTCGATAATTCACCAGTCCGGACATAATCTTGCCCTTGAAGTGCCGGCCAGACTCCTGCATGCATCGAATATACATAGCCATCTAGATTGAAAGCCCCAATCCCTAAATCGACTTTACTATGAACCGCTGCACTGCAACATTCCAGGTCCGTGCCTCGTAGCTAGCACGGGCATTTTGCATAGCAGATCCAACTGTTTCGGCCTAAGGATGCGCATGCGCCACATCGCCCGGAATGCTATGCACTTCGTCGGCATTCATAATATTATAAGCTCGGATCTTCGGACAAGAGTCACCATTGGATACCCGCTCCAGGATATTCTGCAGTAGCCCATTGGCAGCATCACCAGTGTGATCATCGTCTGAACCTGGCATGACCCCTACATCCAAGGCAGCTGCTTCGATTCTGGCTGGAGCGACTGCAGATGCTGGTCATGATGATTGGACCCTGGCATATGAGGTTCGAATTCTAGTTTCCGTAGATTATTATTCTAATAATTTCGCTGCAATATAATTATAATATAATAGTTTCGGGTGCACTTTGGCCACATGGACTCTTGCTCGCGATCACATATAACCTAGGAGGCTGGGGCTCAAATCGAAAGGTCTGCAGATCATTTGAGGTTTTCATGTAATGGGTAGGTTTGAAGAGTCACACACATATATATATATAATGAGACACGATGTTATGAGCATGCATGCTACTGAGCTCCATGTAACAGCTATATAGCAGATATTAGTTTTTTGGCCTGAAGGTTTCAAGTGCTTTAGTAATTTAGTAGGGTTTCAGCTTTCGGGTTTCGGGTTTGTGGTATAGGTTCAGGGGTCTGGGAGTTTAAAATTATTGCCTTGTCTGATTGTGGGGAAACTCTGCACGGGGCTTGTGCACCACCCGCTTACAACAATGTGGAAGGATGGAATCTGGATCACACATATAGTACACAATTCAATATCTGGTGTTATAACTATGGATAAGCAGGACACATGATCATCATGTTTAATTAAACAACATCATTTATGTGTGTCTAGCTGCATGCACGCATGACCAAGGCCAGGTTTTTGTAATCCCATGCACCAACGACCACTATAATCACCTGGCCCATGTGATTGCAACTGCACGTCTTTTCACACCAGCGCTACAGCTGCTGATCATGATCAAGCCGGCAAACACGCTATGTGTATCCACTGCCGACATCACCCTTGAAACCCAAGAGCTAAAATGCACATGGCAGTCAAACAGCAGAGCCATTGGCTAGCTACGGTCTATGCTGAAGCATCCATCCAGCCCCCACACACACCAGTATAATTATACTGTACATACACATGTTGGTGCAGTCGAAATCTCAATGATTACCCGAGGTGTGTGTGCTTCCACAGACGCATGCGGCAGCCGCTGCAGCTGCCCTTGGAACCCGGCTCCCGGCATTTCTACGGGCCCTGGCTATTTGTACATAGGGGATTCAGCATTCGGGATGATTATTATAATGCAGACAGGCCATATCTTGTATAATGATTCGATAGGATTTGGTTGGTTTGGTTACACATTGGCCGGGGTGTTCAACTGAGAGCTTCTGAGCTCCAGTATAGGTACAAAGCCAAACATAATAATACATCGATAGCTCTATAGGGGTTTTAGGTTATCCCAACTTGGCCCTATCATGTAAACCGGTTCGATACATCCTATTTACCACATCATAAAGTAGTTATAGCTACAGCTTCTGGGGATCGACTTCGCAAGGATCAGGGCTGGAGTTGTTCAAGGTGGGGTAGGCACCAGAAGGTTACATGCATTGCATGCTTCCTACATACATGTCAGGATGTCGATGTGTGTATAGTATGTATATATCATGTGTGTATGTTATAATATGTACACACCTTTGTGCATCTAAACCACCGATGTCCACGTAGCTAATGCAGCACACATGATCATCTTCGGGAGCCGGTTTGCTGTATGCAGGCACATATGCAGGCTAGCGGCCAAGGTTAGCCCTGGCACACATCAAAACATCAGCGAGGCCACAGATCTAGATTCAGGATCAGTATGATACACAGGGAGCCCTGAGAATACAGCTATAGTCTACATTAATCCTTAGGCAGCCTCACTGTTTGCCCTTCTTTTTCGGGGCGGCTTTGGGACCGGCTTTCCGATTCTGGAAATCCTTGTTGATTTTATCGAACTGCTCACAGGTGGCTGTCACAACTTGCATAAGATCGTCGATGGCAGCATCGTCCTGCACTGGATTGCTCTAGCTGCTACAAACCCGGGTTGAACCGTTTAAGTTGGTTATATTATCATAGAATTAAAATTTGTAAATGTTGGAGCTATTTATCCAGGGGCTGAGCAAGTTTATGTTCAACCACATAATAATTAATACATAGAGTTCGAACAGCTGAAGCATCAGGTTCAGGATTTTAGGTTGGGCCTTGTATTGCCTGGGGCCTCTGAGCATGAGCTACAAATCTGGGCCCTTTGATTCGAAGTGAACCCTGAACCCCATGAGAGGAGATCCCATCAAGCAGCCTAAGCATCCAGACCCCGAGAAGTAAGCCCTAACCCTGAAATCCTAAACCCTAAACCCTAATATAACCCCAAATTTAAATCATTATAATTCCTAAACCTTATAATCACCCTAAAACCCTAAATAAGGCTGCTTGCGGATTCCTGGTCCACTGCCTTCTGGAGCTTTGCGCGAGCCTCCTGCACCTTCTTATCCTGGCATGATACGGCGGCATTGGGAATTCGACACCTAGTTGCAAGTAAGCAGCCTGCTCCGCGACGTCACGCTTCATAGCTTCCAGCAGATGGTCGCCCCTCAGTAGTGACATGATCATGATTATTCTAGCATCAGATGATGGCCATGGGTCATATAATGAGGAACTGACATCCCTTCAACCTTCTTCTCCTGTGCGATCTTTGTAGCAATCTTGACCCGGTCTGTCGCTTTTTGCAATGCCTGCAGGATTGGATGAAAATTGTAGATAAGTTGAATGAAGCTATCCTTAAAAAAACCTAGCGACTTCTATATTTGATGCCTTGGTTGCTTTGGACTTCAGCTCTTGCGTAGCCTGGTAGGCTTCGAGCTCCTCCGGACTCATGGCCTGTAGCTGCAGGGACAAGGGACAGCTTCAATGTTATATTATGATTTTATGGGGATGGGACAGCTTCAATGTTATGATATTTAATTATAAGGGTCATGGGCACTTCAAAACTAGCTAGCGGTTTCTAAAACAATTGGATATCACCCCTATGGCATTTGGCTAGTTTATGTATATGCACAGGTTTAAAATCAGTACATAGCAAATTGTGGTTTAGCTAATTAGTGACTCGAGTTCGGAACCCACATGCAAGTCCCGCCTTTGCTGCTTTGCCTTTGGCCTTCGCTTTCGCTTTCGGTTTTTTTGTCTTGTTCGGCTTCTTTGGGCTGGGGGTCGAGCACTTTTTGTCTTTCTTGCCCTTCTTCGATTTTTTGTTTTTTTTCTTCTTCTTCTTGTGCCGTGAGTCATCCGATGTGTCACTGGAGTCGCTCACATTGGCCTCCAGGATCTCCTCAAACTCTTCCTCGTCGCACGATTCCTCACTCTCCTCCACCAGGCACTTATACTGCAGGTAGTCCTGCAGTGCGAAAGGGATGATGCATCGTATTTCGACAACTGCAGCACAACGAAAACCCGCCTCGCACTCAGGCCATTTTCTGATCTCAGTGAGGCTTCGCTCAGGATCATTTTCTTTCGTCTCTTTGATGGCTGCAGCGACTTCCTCGCCGAACCTCGTAACCATTTCACTGAAGAAAAGCCATCGGCGCATCCCCCGTCGCGAGTTCGACGATCTGTTGCGCAAACGCGCAAGCAGCTTCGAGTGCTTCCAGTTCTCGCCACATTGAAGCCAGTCTTCAAACAGGCATGACCGAGCACTGGAACTCGACTTCGCCTTCGAAGCCATCCGCTTGATTTCTTTCGGCGTGTTGGGGCCTGCATTGTTGCAACATGAGAATTGTAGTTATAAATGCTTGCATTCGATTCACCACGATATTTGCAACCAGGTTGCTCTCCAGGCTGCGATAGTATCGCATATTTCTCGCATGCAGCCTCTTTCTCCTTTCTTCTTTCGTCTCCTGCTTCTGCTCATCATCATCATCCTTCTTCTCCTCATCATTCTTCTTCTCCTGCTCATGACCTTGTCCCTGCTTGGCTGCAGCTTGCTGGCTGGCTTTTGCTTCAGTTGCAGGTGCTTCGTCAGCTTTCGGCTGCTCTTGCTGCTCGTCGATGTGCTTGACTAGAAGCTTCAGCTCTTCAGTAGATAACTGATCCACTGTATGCCCCCTTTTCAAGATAGCCTGAACCTTGTGAGCCTCGCTACCCTTCTGTGGAACTTGAGCATCATCACCATCTTGTGGCCACGTACCCCAATCCCAGTCCCTTTGGTTCCAGGACCACGAATCCCAGCCTGCATCCCAGCCTGAGCCCCAAGACCACGTGTCCCAGGATGCTCCGGACTGCCATGACACCCAGCTCTTGTCCGAAGAGACCTCGATGGGGCTTGGTCTGACCATATGGCTCTTGGGTTCGCGGCATCTACTATACATATTATTGTACTACGTACTACTGCTACGGCTACTGCTGCTATACTGCTATGCTATAGCTATACTACATAGTACTACTACCACTGCAACTCTGCTATAGCCCCCGCATACGATATATATGTGGATTTCAATATTACCATTCCTACTCCTGCTACTGCTGCTGCCATGCTACTATACAACGGTATATACAGCTGCTGCTGCAAAATTATTGCGACCACTGTCATATAACAACAAAAACCACTATACAGCTACTACTACTACTACTACTACTACTACTACTACTACTACTGCTACTAGTACTTATACTACTAAATATACTACAACTGCTGCTACTACTGCTGCTACTACTCGTGCTACTACTACAACCACTTTACACCAAAATACTACTACATATACTACTACCACTACCGCTACCGCTACCACTACCACTACCACTACCACTACCACTACCACTACCACTACCAATACCACTACCA